CCGAAAATGTTGATAATGTTTCCAACTGTTTGCAACTCAACAAAAGTCACCAACTTTTGTTCCGATGTTTTCGCACCGAATTGAAACATGTCACCAACAATTTGAGAAACATTTTAGTATACAACTTGCTGTGTGTGACGATATTATGCAGGCATTTGCAGTATTTATAATTTTATGCTAAAAAAAACACGTCTTAAACATGCGTTTTAATATTGAAGTCGGTTATAGGCAAAAATTTTAATTTTATTAGTTGTCTCTCTTCCTCTCTTTTTAAGAAACGTTACCTCCACACTAGGATTTGATCCTGTATCGCAGGGACAGTTTACATACATAGAACAGACCTAGAACAATTATTTGTAGGCCATACAAATACTTGTTCTGTCCGCGGCCCTTAGCGCTGCAACTTTTGTGTTGTCAACACGTATTGGTAACAAAACTTTAGTGGAGACGCGGCTTAATACAGAAATGTAAATAACTATCGGGGATCCCCTTATTACCTAATATGGAACTCATTTTCTACCGACTTCAAAAAGGAGACGGTACTCAATTCGACTGTATGTTTTTTTTATGTGTTAACTCATAACTTTTTACTGGGTGAACCGATTTGGATGATTATTTTTTTATTTGAAAGCTGGTGCTTCTCGTGTGGTCCCATATGGATTGATCAAGGCCAGACCAATAGTTTTTGATTTATTCTTAATAACTTATATTGAAGTCGGCTGTACAAAATTTTTAATTTTAAATTATATAATTCTTGTATGTACATACTTTCTTTTTTTCCTTAATTATTTTTCTTGAACTTTAGCTAGCTTTATTTATTTTCGTTATTCTACACACTTATATATTTATTTATTATTTAGATATCGGGAATCGGAGTTTTAATTCACCTATGAGCGTTATTCACCATTTTCTGCCGACTTCCAAAAAGGAGACGGTACTCAATTCGACGCGTGTTTTTTTTATGTGTTACCTCATAACTTTTTACTGGGTGGACCGATTTCAATGATTCTTTTTTTATATGAAAGCTCAAAAGCTATTGGTCTGACCTTGATCAAATTCATATGGGACCACACGAGAAGTACCAGCTTTCAAATAAAAAGAATCATCGAAATCGGTTCACCCAGTAAAAAGTTATGAGGTAACACACATAAAAAACATACAGTCGAATTGAGTACCGTCTCCTTTTTGTAAGTCGGCAGAAAATAGCATCCATTGCCGAACTAGGCCAAAACCTGTATTTCAGCATATGGCTGCACTCCCCAGACATAAACATAAATTATTTATTTAAATTATGTATTCGTGTTATAGATAATTAAATTGTTGTATTTCGTACGTGTTTTTCTACGTGTTTTCTTTGAAATTGAGAGTAAGTGACTTTTTTATGCAGAGATTACAAACATTTTGTACTATTTTTTGTTTTATAAAAAAAATCATTTATATAAGTAGGTATAGCTAAATCAGCCCGGAAAACCTTGGTTTTTATTAAATTAAATTTTCACCTAATAATAATATTTGTAAATATCAAACAATCAAGAACGATAATTTGGAAAAAAATAAGTTTATGATTCATTAATATTTACAAATGTTAAATATTATTTAATGTTATAAAAATGTAAAAGTTAAGTCGATTTGAAAACGACTAATTAGTAAGAATAGCAAAACAAGTGTTTTCAAAAGGAAACAAACGCCGTTTATGAGCGAACTTTTTTTCTGTATGAACGGTTTCAAACTGTTTCAAGTAAAAATAAACCTTATACCATATCACAAGAGCACATGGTACTTCATAGGTCTATTCGGCCACATGATAGTAATAAGACGGCAGTTCAACCATTTTAAACAATAAGACAAACGCATTGTTTCTTTAACAAGAGACTTGTTTTCCAGAAATTTATTTACAACTTGAGTTTGTGAGCGATCGCAATGAGTGCTATCATTTGTTATTTATTAGACTATTTTTCCACAACATGATTGAAAACCCACAAAGTAAAAAGAGTACCATGTACAAGTTAAAAAAAGGTTGTCAACCCCTAAAAATTACAAATTTTCAAAATATGCAGAAACGAAGCTGCAGGCATGAACTACTTGCAAAATAATGAATATTTTGTTTTGGATAAATTTTCCATAAACGCAATTTGAGCGAGTTATAACGATTTAAAAAAAGACATGACTCGCGTGTCATACGCCACACACAAAAGTAATCGACGGCACGCCTGGCATGTCATCGGCATCGAACCGGTCAAACGCGATAAAATCCGTAAAAATTTGTTTAATGTGTATTCTTCGCGTAAATATAAGCGTAAATCATTAATTTTAAATTAATTATTATAGTCTTTATTTAGCAATTTATAAGTAAATTGATACTTTTCACTATAGTGTTATGTAAAGTAGTTATTCTGTTGCATTATTTTTATTTAGTTCATGAACTAAGTAGGTGCTGTTAGCGAAACATTTATTTCCATTCTATATTCTATGTTTTGTTTCTGTTGAGTTGACTACTAACTTGTTTCTAAACAATGCATCTGCATTATCTGCAATGCATCATCGTGAGAATACATCTGCAATGTCAATAAAAATTTATAATAGACTAACTGATAATATTAAACGGAAAAGCTTATTGCTATTTATCATATCCGTTTTGGAAGTGATACTCATAAAATGTTATCATTCCTTAGGAGAATTCTTAAATGGCAAGGAACTACTTAATAACAAAATGATATTTTCTGCCGATTTCCAAAAAGGAGACGGTACTCAATTCGATTGTATGTTTTTTTATGTGTGATACCTCATAACTTGGTGCTGGGTGAACCGATTTCGATGATTCTTTTTTTATATGAAAGCTGATAGTTCTCGTGTGGTCCCATATGAATTTGATCAAGGTCAGACCAATAGTTTTTGAGTTATTTAAGAATAACTCAAAAACTATTGGTTTAAGAATAACTTATATTGAAGTCGGCTGTACAAAATTTTTAATTTTAAATTATCAATTTACACGTCATCTGCCAGTGTTAAAGGATGTTTTTTTTTATTTATAATTTTTGGCATAAGTAATTAATAAGTTTGACATAAATATAGAAATAAATTAATGTTAATTAGATGTAACATTTATAATTTAATACATAACGACAAATTAATAATAATCTTACATTGGTATTTCCTCTGAGGCTGTTACATAATTAATTAGTTACTAGAGCTTCTTCTATAATTTCTTCTTTAGTTATACGCGTATTCTTCTCTCTTGAGTTTATCGTTAGTACCTTTTTCTTTATTTCTTCTTTACGATTTGTCATTTCCTTATTTTCTTTGTAGCGTCATCCTTGTTCTTAATTTTTTTTACAGCTTTCTTCTTTCATTTAATATATCCTTGAAATATTGCAGACGCTTCTGTTAATTTCTATGTTAATCACGAATGCGTCTTTCTCTCCAATTTGTATGTACTATAATTCATCTTCTATCTACCTATAATTCTTAATATAACATATTTCAATCTTCTTTTTATCCATTCATATGTATGTATACATTTATCTTTTTAAGTTGATCTTCAGTAGTATACCAAAATCTTTCCGCAGTTGTGTTTTTTTTATAGGATAAGGGTGACAAACGAGCACACAGTCCACCTGATGGTAAGTGGTTGCTGCGGTCCATAGACATCTACAACTATCCTCTTTTGCGAATCTAAATGCAGATGCGTTTTCACCCGTGAGAACTAAGATGGAATGCCTCATTTCCAGTAAAAAGGGCCTCCGGCCACCTGCACTCACGCGAAACGCAGAGGTAAGCCTCTACTTCACGCTGGTATTCTGTGAGGTCGTGGTACCACCCCGGTTCGAGCCGGCCCATCCGTGCGACAGCAAAAGCTGCCACGTGGCTCTACCACTGTTAAACTGTTTAAATATACGAGGATTTTTTTGTCATTTACGGTATTGCGTCCACCCCTTTATAAAAATATATTTATATTATTTTAATTCTTTTCCTTAATTCCTTCTTTGTCGTTTTTTTTCTCTTTCTTTATGTAGTTCCCGGCAGTGCGCTTGCGTTTTAGGCAGGTTCGCCATGCGATGTGGGAAGCAATACAAAAAATTAAACTAACTGATGCAGGATAAGAATAATGATTTATTAAATTGAAGGAGACATGTACAGTAATTATGACGTAGGTGTATATGCAGGGGGTAGGGTTCCGCGCTACGTGGTTCCAGGTAGAGATACGTGAATAGTGTCTTCTTTTATTAATATAATATGATATTACTGAACTAATTAGATATTACTTCTACATTTCATGAAGACACATCTACTCCGTATATGGGGGATATCATTTAATATTTTAATTACATTGTTTCGTCATAGTACCTACATTACATCTATGTATGTTGTATTGATATTAAAACCAACCAGATACAAAGAGATTTTTATTTAATTTTATGCAACAAAATACGAAGAAACTTTTTCTCCGAGCTATTAATATTATAGCTAAACGTGGTATCTATGGGGAAAGGCCTAAGAGATTAGCTGTGGATTTAGATAAGCTGTTATGATGTATTGAAATATATAATAGGTGCTGTGCCTTAATAAAAAACCAGTGATCACCTAAAGATCGAAATTCGTCCGTAACTCATTAAATGTTTAAGTTTGTATATTAAGCAAACTGTGTTTCACTTTCAAATGCACATTAATATATAAAATAAACGCTTTTTTGCCTTGACCACACCAGGTAGGACCACGATCTCACAGAATACCAACGTAAAATGGCAGCTTAATGCCACTGTGTTTCGTATAGTTTGTGTATAGAACCGGAGGCCCTTTTTACTGGAAGTGAGGCACTCTATCTCATTCCTCAACACATCTGCATTTGGATTCTTAATAAGGGATAAATGTAAATTTATATTGGCCACAGCATGCACTTACGATCAGGTGGACTCAGTGCTCGTTTGTCACCCTTATTCTATAAAAAAAAAACACCTTTTTGTTATGAAATATGTTGTATGTATGAGCATGTGTATGGGCAGGTGGAGTTTTACCAGCCAGATCTGCCGCTGCTGAATCGCGACAATGTGGGGATGGCGCTACGCCTGGCGCCCCTGGGGGCTCCGGGCGCGCCACTTGTGGTGGCCACCACGCATCTGCTCTACAACCCCAAGCGCACCGACGTGCGTCTCGCCCAGATACAACTCTTCCTTGCCGAGATCGACCGCTTCGCCTACTACCAAAACGGCAACCAGTAAGTGTTGTAGCATCAAGTTTATACATACATAGATACATATAATCACGCCTCTTTCCCGTAGGGGTAGGCAGAGACCCACTTATTTCCACTTGCTACGATCCTTACATACTTGTTTTGCTTCGTCCACTTTCATTATTCCCTTTATACATGCTCTACGGTTTAGGGTACTCTTGACCTGGCCTCTTAGTTTATACTGCAGCGAAATCCTGGTTTTGATTACTGATTATCACAGTGGTTCTTTAAAGTAAAACTTCTTATTTGGCGCGGGTAACAAAAATTGGGGCGCAAAGTATTTTTAAGCTGCTATATTTATTGCTTGCATTACATTGGTGTTATATTTATTGCTACGCCGAAATATTGACGTCGCAAAATTTTGTCTTCGTATTAACTTGCCTTGTTTCGGATCTTTTTCCCGAACGAAAGTAGGTAATTTGGAGTAAATTCTATAGACCAATTCCGCATTTATAAAGGCAGCGACTGATTATAGTAATTTGTGTGGATTTAAACATTGCTACGGATATTCGTTATACTAATATACATTATATTATATTTTAATTAAGTTAAAACTAGAATTATTATTAAATACCTATATATTTGATAAATATCTTATTAATAACTTAATACAGTAGTTGATAATAAATAACAAATAGATAATAACAATAAAAATAAATACATTACAATAGAAATAAATATAAATATTTTTATTTATGTTAACAATAACATGTTTACCTTATAACTTTAACTATAACTTTAATAATATAGTTTCACGTTTAACATATATAATTAAGGGCGGCCTACATTGCAGTAAACCTATTTTGTATACCCATTCTAGCACAAAGTAGTCACATACCACCATCAGGTAAACTGTTGGCTGGTTTGTTTCTCAAGATAAAAAAAAACTAACAATCCTTTACTAATATATTGACCGTGTAGTAGCCGTGTAAGAATATCCACTACCACATATCGTCCCGTGGGTGTCGTGAGAGGCGATAGAGTGTAGTAGTGAGAGCTGAAACTGAAGACGGGTTGCAGCGTCTTCCCGTCAGTAATAACTCTATGGCTTAAAGTTGTAAAAACTGTAGTTGCCTACCCGCCTGCCAGGCATGGTATCTACGGTTCAGGTGTGAGCTTTTATGGACTGTAATGGGTGGACGGATATACGATATACATATAAGAATTTATCTATTTTTAATTTGTTTCAGATCGGGGCACTATCCCATAATCCTGACCGGAGATTTGAATTCGCCGCCCGATAGCGCCGTCATTAAACTCCTGGACAGAGGCCGTGTTAGGTGATTTCTGAGTGAAATTTGTTTTTGTATATTGTTTCCTACCCCATAGATTTACTCATGGATGGGTAGTTGCTATAATTTTTACACTGGGCGGGTGTGATAGCAACGGCAGTTTTTATTATTTTGAGCTGTTATATGAAGATGCTGCTGCCCATCTTCTGTTTTATTTCACTCCGCCTCCTCTTACGGTACCCATTGGTAGAGGGTTTTATTACGCCGCCATTACACTACGATCATTAAGCTAATAGATTTTGTTACATTATTCATACATAGGCTTACTATCTCTTGGATTTTCTTCTTCACATCCATAATCATAATATTTTAAACTGCCAAGCAAATAGCAAAATACATTATTCAATGATAGACATTTTATATCTTTATTCGTTTATGTCATGCAATTCAGTAATTGTCTGACACTGTTACATAATAAAGCTATCGTAAAGAAAATTTTTTTTTTTAGGATAAGGGTGACAAACGAGCACACAGTCCACCTGATGGTAAGTGGTTGCTGCGGCCCATAGACATCTACATCTATCCTCTGTTACAAAGCAAAATGTAGATGCGTTGTCACCCGTGAGGAATAAGATGGAATGCCTCATTTCCAGTAAAAAGGGCCTCCGGCCACCTGCACTCACCAAGCGAAACGCAGAGGTAAACCTCTACTTCACGCTGGTTTTCTGTGAGGTCGTGGTACTACCCAGGTTCGAGCCGGCCCATCCGTGCGACAGCAAAAGCTGCCGCGTGGCTCTACTACTGTTACATACTTTTGATATTTGTAATTTAGACCGACAAAAATAGAACACTATGTACATTGCAATTTTTTTATTTAGAATAAGAGTAACAAACGAACACACAGTCCACCTGATGGTAAGTGGATGCTGTGGCCCATAGACATCTACATCTGTCCTCGTTTGCAAATCAAAATGCAAATGCGTTGTCACCCGTGAGGACTAAGATGGAATGCCTCGTTTCCAGTAAAAAGGGTCGCCGGTTCTCTACACTACCCATACGAAACATAGCGACATTAAGCTGCTATTTTACGCTAGTATTCTGTGAGAGCGTGTTCCTTCCCCGGTCTATCTGACCCATTCATATTACAACCATAATATAGCTGCAGCGTGGCTCTACCACGTAAATTCAAATGACGGCTAAACTATGCCCAACTTATTGTAACAACGTGCACACATGCTTAAATTTTTTGATAATTTATGGATGTTAATGTTTATGAGTGTGTGTTGAGGGATGTTCACTGTAAAACACTTTTCACTTGAATCACAATGTTTATTTCGTTTATAGCACAGACATTACACTCATTAGAACAGTTTAGTTAGCGGCTACTGTACTGTACCATATATACTATTAATATTATAACGACTAGAATTAGATGAGCTTTGTCAAGGGTTTTATAAAGAAATTGTGGTACGATGATTCATTTAGGCTTTTGTTCTAGTGCAAGTTCGTTCAGAGACAGTTCCGACTGGAGGAGAATCGGTGTGACGGATAACTGCCAGCACTTGTCTGTATACCTGAACAGGCTGAAGGGTGCCGGCACCGACGCCACTATGATTAAGGTTTATGCTTATTTATTTTTTTAAATTTAATTGCAAGTGAAAACCAACCAGCTGTCCAACATGATTTTAAGTCACTGACCTCTATATATACAAGTACGCTGGACTGGCTATGCCATACAAAATGCTTATGCCGATTTGAAGCGCCCTCATTAACCGTACCGGGAAATAAAATTGACATATTAATATGCCAGTCTGTTGTATTATTTAAATCATATCTTTGCATTTTGAATTTTTAAACTAAAAATGAAAGTATTTATGTGGTTTGATTATGTTTGATTTTAGTTACATAATAAGAATTATTTTTAGTAATAGTGAGTGTGCATAATATGTAAAACTCGTTGCCAAAAGGAAAGTGGGATAACAATCCACAAATAAGTGAATATGCAACTAATATTAAGCAAATTAAAACTATTTGATAATATAGGTACTTAAAAATGTTTAATCTTAATATCGTAATCAGCAATATGTTTGGCTTTATATTACTGAGTTTTGATAAACAATAAATTTCAATAGGGTTCTTGACTTCCTTGTCTATAATACTTATCGATGTTCTTTTCTACCCATATCTGTTCACAACCAACTTACCTAGAACTAGAACCTAGACTAAAAAAATGGCTAAAAAGCACAAAAATTATGAATTGGCGTCCATAACGAAATGATTATATTTGTCCTAATCTCTTTACAGACGACTGTTTTATTAGACATGAGAAACGCACCACTTTGAAAAAGTGGAGTATACCCACAATATTTTCTGGTAATACCAGTACCAGTAAGTATAAAATATAAACATATAAGTATAAATTTAGTAGCCGTGGCTTGCTAACCCATAGTAAACGTAGAGCGACTCACATGGCTGGCCCGAGGTGAAGGGCTGGCCCAAGGTGGTTACTCTGAGTGGGCTTGTCGAGCCCTTGAACGTGTGTTAGTGAGCTGCAGCTAGAGGAGAGTCCTCTCTCTGTATCGTTGCAGCCGAGGTGGTGTCGCAAGGGAAGAGGATTGTTGGTATGGTAATGCGCCACGCGACTATCCTTCGCGACTTTGGCGGGACTGTACCACTTGCTGCTTCCGAGTACTCGTTTTTCTTGGCTCCATGGTCTCCACATATCGGGCTCGGGAAGTCGGGGAGGAAAGTCTTAAACTACGGAGGGGTCCTCGCTGATGGTCCGCGGATGTGCTTGAAAGCGTTTTCGTGGCCTTGTCAATGTGTGGTAAACGTGGAACATCATGGGGTTTTAGTAGGTGCAAGTCCGACATAATTAGTTCTTGTCCTCGCAATACAGGTATGCGTAAGCATTTTCTAATTTATAACCCGGAACAAAATCCGTTCTGTAGTTACGAATAAAAACGTTGATAGATCAACGCAGCGTCGATTCTTGTTTTATATGAAGTATAAAGGTTGCCTCTAAGACCCAGGTAATTTAAAAAAAAAACAATAACGTTTAAAAAAAAGGACCCCCACTCTAGGATTTTCTCCTGTATCGTGGAGACAGTTGACAAACACAAATTGCACAAGGACAAACATCCAGACCCCGAATAATTATTTGTAGGCCATACAAATACATGTTCTGTGCGGGATTCGAACCCGCGGCCCCCAGCGCAGCAACTCATTGCTAAGCTACTGCGCCACGGAGCCATCGATTAATTGATATATTTATTTATTGTGTGGCATTATATTAATATGATACATAATAGAATGGATGTTACGGGTAGGCCTGGGTATAGAATTCTTATCGATATATTTTTTCACATAGTCTTATCTCTATTATTAGTTCCATGGGCGTTCACTTCTGCTTTCAGCGCCAAAATGGGGACAATCAAATTGCCTCATTATGTCACGGTTATAGCTAGTCCATATATAGAGGTCAGTGTTCTAAGTGGCTGCAAACAATTTTAAATAAAGAAGGTTGCAAATGCTTCATCGCCTCTGAGGCTAAGATGGAGTGCCTACTAAAAACTACTTTTCTCCTTTTCTACCTTTACTTGCGCGCTCTCTCCCGGCTATTTATTAACTGACATTTTTTACCTTAAAAATTTATTTCTATACGAGTATTCATACGGATATTTTTAATATATAAAGGTTATAAGTATGTAGACGTTATGTATGTATACACACACACACACACACACACACAGTGTGTGTGAGTGTGTGTGTGTGTGTGTGTGTGTGTGTGTGTGTGTGTGTCGTGTATTGTATGTCCTATGTATATATATTTCTATATAAGTACACTTTATATAACTCATATGTTTCGCACCTGCCAATATTTTTGTTTTTGGCTTCCAGGGTTGACTGGCATTATGTCCGCCATATCCTTTACTTGAAGGTGTTACATTTAAGCTGTTTAAATAAAAATAAGCAAATATTTCCTTAAGATCTACAACTCTGAGCAATGCGGGAGTCCAGCAGCCGACTACTCGGCGATTATCGACGCGGAACACGGTGCGTTGTTCAACAGCGGCCAGTTGGGACACAATCTCGACCTGTTGTCCGTGTACACCCAGCGCAAGCCGGATGGCAGCCACGAGGCCACCACCTTCCAGGATTATTGGCTCACCGTCGACTATATATATTTTAGGTACAGTTACGTTGTTCTACTCTAACCGTGTAGTGGCGGTGTCAGAATATCCACTACCCCATATCATCCCCTGGGTGTCGTAAGAGGCGACAGAGGGAAAAAAATCAGTAGATGGGCAGCCGTGTCTTCTTGTTAACGACTTTAAATAAAAGATTAGGTAGCCAACCCGCTTACCAATTGTAGCAACTATGGAAAATGTCCCCCTATGAGACAATCCATGGGAAAACTCTATGTTCAGCGGTGGACTTTAATAGGCTGTAACGGTAACGGTTACTGAATATTGTTCTTAGGTTTACTAATGCCCAAATACTCAAACGCTGCTCGATTTTTAGTCTCGTGCTGTCTCTATCATTTTAACTCAAAGTGACTTTGACACGAGACTTAATGAAATCTTAAAATTGAGTAGGGTTTGGGTATTTGGCCATAAGTGATTAAATTGTTTATACTTCCTCGAGGTAATGGGACCAAACGAAAACAGACACATTAACATCGACTAGTATAGCCTGTGGTCGAAATTCGACCAATTGTGTGGAAACATCGCTAAGTGTTTGTGTATATAAAATTTTTTTGTAATATTTACACATGCAGGCTAGGCAAAAGTTTCTTATATCATACAGCCGTAAACATGAACAAAACATGTTCGTTTAGTTGGTATGAAAAATGATTTGTGCAATATATATAAGTTGCGGCACGAAAGTCTAGCGGTGACCGTTATTGAACATAAGTCGAAAATAAGGTATCATGCGTTAGTAAGCGGGTTACGGGGCGGGCGTGTATTCTTCACACGTGCTGATTAGGTCGTGCGTATCATTCGCACGCGCTGTTTGGCTCTCCAGTCGCATTCGAGCAATTCAATTCGTGCGCGACAGTACACATGCGCAGCTAATCCCATCGCGTTTTGTTCAGCGCTAGACTTACGTGCCGCGACTTATACATATGGTCTTCTAGTTTATTTACATCTGTGGTACAGTACCTTTCGAAAAGTATTTCGATTTTCTTCATATTATATACTAAACAAGGTACTTAAAGTTTTGATGTTCACTTATTAATAAAATGATTATATTATATTACTTCCTCAGTTACACAGTCACTAACAAAGAAATTGATTTTTTTTTTCAAAAAAAAAAAGATATTGAATTAGGTTATATAGTGATCTAATTAGCTAAGCAGCTGTTTACAACAGACCACAAGCTACCAAAACTAAGTCGGGTGACGAGTGACGATTGGACTTGCTAACACTTCGCGCAGGCAATAATTAGATTACATACTTATGTGTCGCTACCGTAGTTACCAATATATATATGTGTATATATATATATACCTAGTCAGGTCATAAGTATTGTCACACAGTAAAAACTTTTCTTTTAGAATGCTGGCCACAAAAAAGTTTATTGAATTCGAATTTCGAATTGTTCATGAAAATAAAACTATACTTTTTAGAATTTTACTCATTTTTAAATATGGAGTGGACGCTTAAAGAAGACCGTGTTGCAGTTATTGCGTTGCATCGTCGCGGTTACGCGCCAATTCAAATTTCTGACATACTGAAAAATTTGAATATAACCAAAAGATTCGTTTATCGTACCATCAAACGATACAATGAAGTCTCTAGTGTAGATGACAGGTCAAGAAGTGGTCGCCCTCGGTCTGTTAGGACTCCAGCAGTGATAAAAGCTGTGAAGGCGCGAATTCAAAGAAATCCCAAACATAAGCAGAAACTGTTGGCCCTTCAGATGGGGTTAAGCAGAACCACGGTGAAAAGGGTGTTAAATGAAGACTTAGGGCTTCGGGCATATCGAAGAAAAACAGGACATCGTTTAAATGCTCGTCTAATGGACCTGAGACTGAAGAGATGCCGCGCTTTGTTGAAGCGGTACGCGGGACAAAAATATCGGGAAATTCTTTATTCGGATGAAAAAATTTTTACCGTAGAAGAGAGCTACAACAAACAAAATGATAAGGTGTACGCACACAGTAGTGAAGAAGCGAGCAACCGTATTCCGCGTGTCCAACGAGGTCATTTTCCATCCTCGCTCATGGTATGGTTGAGAGTTTCTTATTGGGGCTTAACAGAGGTACATTTTTGTGAGAAAGGTGTAAAAACGAATGCAGTTGTGTATCAAAATACAGTCCTGACGAACCTTGTGGAACCTGTTTCTCATACCATGTTCAATAATAGGCACTGGGTATTCCAACAAGATTCGGCGCCAGCTCATAGAGCGAAGAGCACACAAGACTGACTGGCGGCGCGTGAAATCGACTTCATCCGGCACGAAGACTGGCCCTCCTCCAGTCCAGATTTGAATCCGTTAGATTACATGATATGGCAACACTTGGAGGAAAAGGCGCGCTCAAAGCCTCATCCCAATTTGGAGTCACTCAAGACATCCTTGATTAAGGCAGCCGTCGATATTGACATGGACCTCGTTCGTGCTGCGATAGACGATAGATTGAAGGCCTGTATTCAAAATCACGGAGGTCATTTTGAATAAACTTTAGTGTCGTAAGAATCTATGTTTTGTTAAGTTCATTTTGGTATATAAATGGTTACATAATGAATAAACTTGTTTCAATTATTTTATATTAAACATGTGACAGAATTTATGACCTGACTAGGTATATATAAATATATACTAGCTGGCCAGGCAGACGTTGTTCTGTCCTTTTCGACGACCCTTCATATAAAAAATCCTAATATTGAGTGTCACTTATCAGGATAAAAACTATCCTATCTCTCAAGTTGGACCGAACTGCACAGTGTGTGCAAGTGTGCAAAATTTCATTGAAATCAGTTCAGTAGTTTATATATATATATATATATATATATATATATATATATATATATATATATATATATATATATATATATATAGTGTCACGTTGTTTGTCCGCGATGAACTCCTAAACTACTGAACTGATTTTAATGAAATTTGCACACTATGTTCAGTTTGGTCCAACTTAAGAGATAGGATAGTTTTTATCCCGATAAGTGACCCTCAATTTTTTTGCAGTTTTTTTTTTAGGAAAATTAATGGTAGTCGGAAAGGTCAGAACAACGTCTGCCCGGCCAGCTACTATAAGATAAAATTGATGAAATATTGAAATACCTGGATTCTATTAAGCTCCGGGGTTATTTATAAGAACCATTTTAAAAGTTTTGTCTATCTGTCTGTGCGGACTAATTAATCGTTACAATGGCTAAATCGATTGTAATTGAACTTTAGGAACAGATAGAGAGCACTGCCAGGAGTGATCTAGGCTACGTTTTATCCGAACACCTTGGATATTTTCAACAAAGTTATTGAAGAAACGCGTAAATATAATATTATAGCAGTAGACTCATGATCCCAACGGTGTGTGTTTCAGTCGTTGCAGCACACTGAAGCTATTGGAGCGTCTTCGTTTGCCCACGGCACCAGAGTGCGCAGCGATAGGGCCCCTGCCCAACCACGTGTACGCCTCCGACCATCTCGCACTAGCTGCGATCTTCGAACTGAAGCCGCTCAGCGCCAACTTATAGCTCACAATTACACCCTTGAACCCTACGTCATGTGAGCTGCATTCGCACAGGAAGCGCAAGCGTAGAACGAAACGGTTGCTTTGTAAATTAAAATTAAACATAATCACTTAAAAAACAGTAAATTATTTTCTTATGATCTACTTTAAAGGTTTGTCCATTATTAAAGGTTTGTTTATTACGTATCTCAATCAGCATTACTGACACTCCATGTAACGGGTGGTGATTTCGAGTTATGCAGTACATAGAAAAGTGTAGAAATTTATGTTTGATCTTTGTGTACAGTTGTTATGCACACGGGCAACGTGTGACTCGAGATATCTACGTAGTTATTTTATTTCTGTAACAAACAAACACGACTGGAGTATTATCATACTTGTAGTATGTAGGTATGTGTAGGATCAATGAATACTAGGCAGAGAACTGCTGGACTATTTTTTTGCTGATAATAAATTATCCATATTCATTTAGGATTTCTATTGGGTTTTAAATAGTAAACACAAGATAATTTTCTCTAGTGAAGAGGCGAATTATGATTACACACTAATAACAACCGTATTACAGTTACATATGGACAATATTTCATTTTCCGTTCAAATTTACTTTAGTAGTTATGCGCCTTCGCCTAGTCTGAACTGACCATCAGAGCCCAATTGAGATATTATCGTATTATAATAAATGTTTTACAAGTGTCTTCTCCGATTTAGTAGACTTATGTTTTTCAATAATTTAAAGTGTCAGATTTATGTAATTTAAGACTATAATTCCGAGCTATATTATTAGAGCCTATGCGATCAATGTTTTGCAACGTAGTTGCATTGAGTGTTGCAATCGGCGTTTTTAATCTTTACTCTTTAGACACTACTTCATTAGAAATTAATACTGTTACATAAGAACGTTTTGCTTTTGAATTTTTTTTTATTGGTGGAAACAATGAAGGTATAATAGATTATACGATGCTTTATTATTTATAAAACATCTAAATGTAGTACAATAGCACCTATCAGACTGAACAAAGTTAAATAACAATAAACATGTCATTAGATAAATAGAAATTTTTTATATTATATTTAGTACACATGTTTAATATTATGCTGGCGACTGTGGATTTAATATTTTAGGATCATTAAACTGTCCTTTATACTAAATTCAGTAAACATTTTGCCGAAGTAGTGAGAAACGTCTGCGTAATAACTTATTTCTACAACTGTTACTATATCTGGCTCATGCGACTGTCGATTCGAAATTGCATTGCCGTGATTTTTTTTAATTATTAGTACTTTTATGTATCACTAATTGTGTAAAATTTTAATATTTTAATGATGAAATGTTAATTTTAGTAACCAATTTACATAGTAAACATTGGTTATAAGCAATATAGGTTTTGACAAACTTACGAATTGTAGAGCAATTGAAAATTCTCTATACACTTATATTTTTTAAAGAACAATAAAAGTGATTAAAAAAATTTAGTGTATGTTAATATTCTATAATCTATTTTTGAATTCAGTATATTTTTTTTTATAGAATAAGGGAGACAAACGTGCACACAGTCCACCTGATGGTAAGTAGATGCTTTGGCCCAAAGACATTCACAAATACAAAAAATCAAAATGAGATGCGTTGTCACTGCTGAGGAGTAATGTAGAATGCCTCGTTTCCAGTAAAAGGCAGACCCTTTTTCAACACTCAGCATACGAAACACAGCAGTTAGAACTGCTTTTTACGCTGGTATTCTGCGAGAGCGTGGACCTTCACAGGTCGAGCCGACCCATTCGTGCTACAACCATAATATAGCATCTTAATATGCTGAACTCACTGGTCTCTATATATAGAGGTCAGTGGCTGAACTTTATTATAATTACTGTTTTTTTTTGCATATGCGTTATGATTGTACAATAATGTAAACTTTTGCTTTCTGTTCCATGCTGGTAAGTGTGGTGGTGACGTAACAGATATTTGCACCCCATTTTGTGTCGTTGGTCGACAACAAACCAATTACGTCTAATAAGAGACTGGGAAATGTAAAAAAATGTTATGGCTTTCGATAGATGTCGATACATCTCGTTTACCACGATACAAAGTAGCCAGACTAGCGACAGGTGGCAGGGTGGTCACGTATAGTGTTGCGATCATCCGCTTGCCAAGTGAGAAGATTGAGGCAAATCCCCACCAAAGGCCCCCACAACGGGGGAGGCACAAGTACAGCAGTGAACTTTTACAGATTTAGTAGACGTAGTTACATTTTTGACGTGCTCGAATGTAGATATTCGAACTGCAAGCTGACTTACGCATCACATTGAAACAGTTTTCCCGCTATATTTTATATATTATACCTAACTAAACTTGACACTTGCTGAGATCAAGAATGGAAGATAGACGGAGCGTTGCGTACATTTTAAGTGAAGCTGAAACCATGCTCAACTTCTTGATACGCACTCTCATATCTTACATCTTTGTCTTTTTTTCTTTATCAGCCCGTAAAAGTTCACTGATGAATGCATCTAAAACCATGTTAATGCTTGCAAATTATTTTAGATGCATACATGCACGTGAGTGCGTGTTCTCGCAATAAGGTGAGCATGGTTTTGGCTTGGTTCTTTCATGCCTTGAAATGTACGCAGCGCTCCGTTTTTCTTTCTTTGTTTTTGTGAGGATACTTGAAGTATTATTAATTTTACAATTATTAATTAAGTTAGTTGGCGAAACTGCAATCGCATTTGGTATTTGGCATGATAATAATGTTCATATTATTTGTAAATTTGCGAGTGGATTGCGGGTTCAGCATTATTACAAAATAATTTTGTATAGGACGCCACGAACACGAGTGGGCTTGCGGCTATATTACCGTACATGTACCGATTGTATGTGCATAATGTGTGAGTGATGAATCTATTTTATTTTAAATCAAAAATAAAACATGTAGGTATATGTTTGCTTTTAGACGTTATTTCATCGGTATGTTTTTATTCGTATGTAAGCTTTGATATCTTAGATTCATATATCGCGCGTATCAACTAGCTCCTCCAGAGTTATAGATAATGGTTTCTTATATTTACGCGAACACTACACATTGAATAAACGTCGGGAATTAATGAAAATAAGATAATCCGTAAAAGTAGTTTTATTCAGTTATTGTAAAATTTTACTAAATGTCCCTCCAAGTTTCCCATCCAGAAATGGGCGTCTCTTTTTATGAATTATTTAATTTTATCGTCGCCTATACACAGGTAAATATTTTGACCAGTTCGTAATTGATCCTCGACTTGGTAGTACCGTTTGCTTTTTGTATTGATTGTGAAAACGTCAGATTTATACAACCAAAATGTGCAGGACGGGCGTAACTCTCCGGAGTAAATGTTGACGAAGATACTCCGTGAGTCGCTCACGTCCTACACCTATAGGTTCCGGAGGATACCTCTTCTGCCGTCTTTGCGGGTGCTGCTGGGGGATACTGTAGTCTGAGGTTCAAAATTAAAATGCACGATCTATAAAATACAAACAGCAAGGCAGTGGCCAGCGGTTCGACTGATCGATTAGTCGCGATATTTTATAACTATTGTTTATTGACCACGGTTGTTGAATATGGTTGTTCAACTACGGTTATTCACTATCGGTTGGTCACCATATATTTCAAAAGATTTCTTTATATTGTTCGGTAGTATCAAACTATCTATTAGTAGTAGCTGGTTTTCTTAACACTTGATAATGATAAGGATATGAGAGAGAAGTCGAAAGAAAGATATAAGCTGCAGAAAGTTCACACGAAAGCATTGATTGAGGAAGTGCGTGAAAGGTGTAGAATGGAAGCGGACGAAAGGTTGTCGCACAACTTTATGGAGAATTCCAAACTCTATTGGAAAGAGGTTGGAAGGACCCGATGTGGTGCGACAGCCTTAAGAATGAACAAAATGCTTTCGAGAACTAATGACGTCCTCTCAGAAAAATCGGACGTCATGCAGCGATGGAGTGAATTTTATAGAGAAATGTATGCGTGTGATGATCTTAGTGAGGGATCCGGGGATGACGCCGTGACTGGTACGCCAGACCCGGACCTCGATGACATTGAGGTCATCAGTATGAAAGAGATTGAACGTGAGATTCGAAGTTTGAAATGTGGTAAGGCTGCGGGACTAGACAGAGTTACTGCTGAAATGGTCAAGTATGGTGGGCCTCGCGTTTGGGACAGCTTTCATCTGCTGTGCAATTTGTGCTGGCGGACGGGGGATGTCCCGGATGATTGGCGATCCGCAGTCATTGTGCCTTTATATAAAGGTAACGGTTCACATTTTGACTGCGGGTGTTATCGGGCGATCAGCTTGACCAGTTTAGCAAGTAAAGTTTACTCGAAAGTTTTGACACGTAGGATGCAAGAGAAATCGGAAAGATTTATATGGGAGCCACAATGCGGATTTAGACCTGGAAGAGGATGTACGGATCAAATGTTTTCTCTCCGCATGATCACGGAAAAGCTTCTGGCTGCTAACCAGAAGATTTTCTGTGCTTTTGTGGATCTTGAGAAAGCATTTGATAAGGTTGTAAGGAAGAAAATGTGGGAACTGTTGCCGGGGTATGGTGTGGATGGTCGATTGCTAAGGGCTGTGCAGTCACTTTACTGTGACTGTAAAGCCTGTGTGCGGGTAGGGCATAACCTGTCATCCATGTTTATCGTCCAAACGGGCGTAAAACAGGGTTGTGTCATGTCTTCCTGGCTGTTCATACTGTATCTCGACAGCTGTTTACAGAAGCTGAAAGATAGCTGTTTGGGTGTGAAATTGGGTGACATAAAAGTAAATTGTCTGCTGTATGCTGATGATGCAGTGCATATTGCACCATCAGAGGCAGAAATGCAGCCATTAGTCACGTGTATGAAAGAGGAATGTGAAATTAAAGGTCTCCGTTTGAATGCTAATAAAACTAAGGTTCTGGTATTTGAAAGGGACGAAGAGAGAGCGAAGTGTGAAATATGGGTAAATCAAGAATGTCTAGAACAGGTAAATGAA